GGCGCGCGAGGGAGGGGGCTGAGGGTGGGGGGGGTGCGTCTGCCTGCAGGACGGGACTGGATGCAAAGACCACTGGAAGCAGCACCCGGAACTGGAGGGGGAGGAAGAGGCCAGAGAGGTGGGGAGGCTGAGGTGTGGAGCGTGGCCTCTGTGGCTGATGCGAGGAGGTGACACCCCCCCCCCAAGCTGGAGAGGGGATCTCTTCTCGGGGGGGGGGGGTCCCTGGGGGGCAGGCAGCCTCCCGTCCGCCCTGCACGCTGCAAAGGTGGGACGAACGACCCGGATTCCACTCGATCTCCATCCAGCGGGCCAGGCCTGTGGGCGGCTTTGATTTGAGCCCATCATCCTCTCCGCAGCCCTTCCCTGAAAGGCCACCTCCTACAAATTGACCCCGACTGATCCCCTTGCGTTGGTGGGCCCTTTCCAAGGGGAAAGGCAGGGCTGAAAATGGTTTAAGTCAGTTTTCAGCCAGCAAAGTACGTACGGGAGGAGTAGCGATCCGTTCCTCGTTGGAAACGGGTAGAGAAGAGCCAGTTCCCGAAAGGGTCTCACCTGGCCGATCTCCTCCAGAGAGAACGTTCTTCTCTCCCCAGAGCAACACCCGTTTTGTCCAGAAGGACCACCCTGTTACCCTCACGGTCCTTTGGGCACAGCCTGGCCGCTGAGAGGAAAGGGGGCCGCGTGGCGTGGGAACCGGCCCCCCCTGATGGTTGGCTCTTAGCCCCTCCCTGGCTGCATCGGACGGAAGGGGCCATTCTTGCCGTCCAAGGGTCGGGACGGGGGAAGGTCGTCAGGCAGTGCAGGGAAGGCCGGTGTAGAATCATAATGAAGTTGGAAAAGGGGGTCTGTAAGGCTGTCAAGTCCAACCCCCTGGCCGGTGCAGGAATCTAAAGTCCCTTGAACGCCTCCAGGGTTAGACTTTCAGCCCCCCTGATCATCATCCTTGCCGCCCCTTCTCTGAACGTGCTCCAGTTCGTTAGCATCCTTCTGGACGTGCGCTGTCCAGTCTGTCCGTTTCAGTGAGTGTGCACACGCACGCGTGGACATCTGCCCCCCCGCGCAGAATGGGGGGCGGGAGGGCCCCTCGTGGAGGGCCTTTGGTGACCCTGTGCCCTCTTTGCAGACGACTCCTCTTCGGAGAGCTGCAGCGGGAATGGCAGCTCCACCCTGAACCCCTCCACCTCCAGCAGCACCCAGGGGGACGCCGCGTACCCAGAGGTGAACGGCAATGGGGCCGCCGCCCCCATGGACTTCAGCGCCTCGGCGGAAGACCAGCCCATCAACCTGTGCGACAAGCTGGCCCCGGCGCTCGCCACCCCCACGTACCAGTCGGATGGCGGGAGCGCCGACGGTCTCCGCAGCCGGGCAAAGTACGGAGCTAAAAGCGCAGCGGAGGTGAGTGTGTGTGGTGTGTGTGTGTGTGTGTGTGTGTACACGTGTATCAGGAGCCAAAGCAGCAAGAGTCCTGGGAGAGGGTGGCCGTAGAAACTCACGGAGGACTAGCATCCAGACACAGTGCGGGCCTGAGGCAGGAGGGGGCCTCTTTGGGGCCCCCGTTGAGGGAGCTGGACGGAGGAGCCTGTGGTCAGTGGGGCACCAGGCGAGGTGGCCCCTCATGGCGAGGAGGCTCTGCGGCCACTGACCCCGAACCTGCTGCCCTCCAGATGGGACTGGATGAGGCCTCGGGCCGTGGAGCGGGGTGGCTGGAGAGGTCTGCGTTTTGCTCTTCTTCTCCGGTGGGCCTCATCCCCTGCCTTTGGGAGGTCCTGAGCGAGGACATTGACCGTAGCCTGATGCCATACCTGCCCCAAGCAAGAAAGGGCTGGTTCCTTCCTTGTAGATCAGAAACGAAAATGAGAGTTCGCCTTGGGCGGGCGTCCCCTGAGAGAAAACCGCCAAGGGCCCTTTAAAAACTGCCCCGTTGACTTGGGCAGGAGCTTTTCTCGAAAAGGTGGCTGGCGCACAAACGGGTAGTCCATGTTGCTAGACCTCATGAAGGCTGGCTAATGTCCAAGAGTTGCATCCAGGGGGAAAAAATACACACATAGGCACCCCGGCTGTCCCTCTCTTGTCTTGGGGGGGGCTCCCTGCTTTTGTTGCTGGGACTGCTGTTAGGGGGGCTGGATAAAATGATTTTTTCTGAGGTCCCCAAAGGGGTCTTCCCTACGGAGAGGAAGGGGAAGGTCCAAAGGGCGGAGGGGCCCACCCGCGGTGACTCCCGGTGTCTCCTCCCGCAGTCGCCTCCGTACAGCTCTGGCAGTTACGACTCTGTCAAGACTGAGGTCAGCGGCTGCCCCGAAGACCTCACGGTCGGCCGAGCCCCCACGGCCGATGAGGACGATGATGACCACGATGACCACGAGGACAACGACAAGATAAACGACTCGGAGGGGATGGACCCCGAACGGCTAAAGGCCTTCAATGTAGGGGCACTCAATGGTGGAGGGACTTCCCTGGGGGAGGTGCGGGGGGGGGACCCCACAACCCAGCACCCCAGACTTCATTCTCCCTCACGGGCAGGGAGCCCTCGCGCTCAGGAGCCGACCCCGTCAGCAAAGGCTCCCTGCTTCTTCCCCATTTCCGGGGAAGGGTCCGGACTTGGCGCCGGACTTGCCTCCCAATCCGTCCCCTTGCTGTTTCCGCAGATGTTTGTCCGCCTTTTTGTGGACGAGAACCTGGACCGCATGGTTCCCATCTCCAAGCAGCCCAAAGAGAAAATCCAGGCCATCATCGAATCCTGCAGCAGGCAGTTCCCCGAGTTCCAGGAACGCGCTCGCAAACGCATTCGCACTTACCTCAAATCCTGCCGCCGCATGAAGAAGAATGGCCTCGAGATGGTGAGCTTTTCCTCTCTCTGCCCCCCATTTCCCCCAGTTTGTACCCCCCCACGGCGGGCAGTCCTAGGTTCTTGCCCCTTCCTCCCCTTCAGCCAGAGCTGCAGGCCACGTCCGGGGACCCCTGTGGTCACTGGGTCCCCGTTTCATGCCGGGTTCTCCCTGGGTTTGGGTTCTGTCGTCTGGCACATTGGCGTTGCTCCTCCTTCAGGGGAAGAGAGACTCGGGCTCTCAGGCCCTTCTCTTCGTCCCCCTGCGGAGAGTCGGGCTGGCTTTCCCCTCCCTCGTCTCCTGGTTTCTGGGCACCATTTGAAGCGCGCTGGGCAACAAACCTGAAAAGGACGGCTCACTGTCCTGCTTGCCGCCCAGGTGGGCCCGTGTGGCATGGCCACTCAGGCGGCTGGGGGGGGAGGAGGAGAGCTCAGCAGGCAGGAGAAGCAGGCACGTGTCCTTCTGGACTGCAGCAGCGCCCAGGTGGTGATTGGGGGGGGGCGGGCTCCTTGGGCCCCTCCAGTCGGCGCTTCCGGGCACAAGAAGAAGGTCTTGTTCTTTTCGCGGGCCTGCAGCTCCGTTTCGCCCTCCCTCCTTTTCCACGGCTTCCTCCTGTCACCAACGTTTCTGCTATGATATTCTAGGGACGATGGATTGTTTTATGTTTTAAACCCCCCCCCCCCCCCGATGGAGGCCAAAAAAGCTGGAGAAAGAGCCTTTTAGATCAATGCATGTTTCAGAGCTGGGCGGGGCGTTTCCTGCAGAAGATTCCTCCCTCTTGCCCTAGGAATGGGAAGGAGGTGAAGTGGGTGACTCTCCAGGGACTTTGCCTTTCTCCAATATTTGGGTCCTCTCGTTGTGTGGCCAGTCATCAACTCCCTGTCTGTCTGTCTGTCCGTCCGTCCCCAGACCAGGCCCACCCCACCCCATCTGACCTCAGCCATGGCCGAAAACATCTTGGCCGCCGCTTGCGAGAGCGAGACGCGGAAAGCAGCCAAGCGGATGCGGCTGGAGATCTATCAGACGTCACAGGTAGGCCTG